GCAGTTTGTTAAGGGTAGCTATGTCAGGGATAAACTACAGTTCTCATTATTCTTTTTTGAGGGGTGATTGCTTGGAAGAAGCCCTGAGGAAGGGGAGGCATAGAGATAGATGGCTTTGGGGAGGTGGGGACTTTCAATCTCAGCAACTGGTTTCATGGAGTAAGATCTACAGGACAGGAGCTGCTGTGCTCATTAGGCCTGAAACTCTGTCCAGTCTGTGAAGAACATGTTTCACTAATGAAGAGTTAATTCCAGCTTTGAACTGGGTGATGTATTCATCAACTGGCTCTGTGACAGTGGGGGAAGAGATCCTCATCTTTACTGAGCAAACCAGATCAGCCCAAAATATTGACAAAGTTGTCTTTAATAAATTTAGTTACAGATAGGTAGCCGTGTTGGTCTGCCATAGTCAAAACAAAAAAAATTCCTTCCAGTAGCACCTAAAAGACCAAGTAAGTTAGTTCTTGGTATGAGCTTTCGTGTGCATGCACACTTCTTCAGATACGAAGAAGTGTGCATGCACACGAAAGCTCATACCAATAACTAACTATCTGAAGAAGTGTGCATGCACACGAAAGCTCATACCAAGAACTAACTTAGTTGGTCTTTAAGGTGCTACTGGAAGGATTTTTTTTTGTTTGTTTTTAATAAATTTGTAACTTAAAAAAAATTCGTGCATGACTGAAGGTCATAATAGTTTGGAGGTAACAGGAAACCTAGGCTAACAACATTCTGCAATAAATTATTATTGCATCTAGCTGATGAGGAAGGCATGATGCAATCTTATTGACATTGACATCTTGCACAAGCAGTAACTACACAATGCAAAAGAGAACAGCAGCAGCAGTAATTATATCCACATGATTCCGCAAACACAAGTTCTCTGTGAGATTTCTTTTCCATGGATAACTATCTCACACCATTACTCCCACCTGCTAAATGAGTGCTGCAAATACCTCCTAGTCATTGCATAGGAGGTTCAAAGCTCCTAGAAGCTGTCAGCATGCGACAGTGCTTACACTCCACTCCAGGAGCGGCTTTTACTGGCAGGCTAAACCAAGGGAGGGTAGCTGATGGGTTTCAACCCTCAGTGAGTTAGTGACTTCCCCTGCATGTGAAGACAGGCTCTGGCAGATTGAGCAGATGAGACCAATAGCAGATGCAACAGTCAAGAAGGCAGTTTCTGCATGTGCTATATAGAGGGAAGTAAGGAGCAAATGGGACGCGGGTGGCGCTGTGGGTAAAAGCCTCAGCGCCTAGGGCTTGCCGATTGAAAGGTCGGCAGTTCGAATCCCCGCGGCGGGGTGCACGCCCGTTGCTCGGTCCCAGCGCCTGCCAACCTAGCAGTTTGAAAGCACCTCCGAGTGCAAGTAGATAAATAGGGACTGCTTACTAGCGGGAAGGTAAACGGCGTTTCCGTGTGCGGCTCTGGCTCGCCAGAGCAGCGATGTCACGCTGGCCACATGACCCAGAAGTGTCTGCGGACTGCGCTGGCCCCTGGCCTCTTGAGTGAGATGGGCGCACAACCCTAGAGTCTGTCAAGACTGGCCTGTACGGGCAGGGGTACCTTTACCTTTAAGGAGCAAATGGGGCTCATCAACCTGGGAAGGTAGCCCATCTAGGAGAAGGAAACCTCCACTGCCTTGCTGGATATCTTTGGGAGAAGAAAAGGCTAAGGAGTAAACCCTACACAAATTCTGAGTGGAGTCCCTAAGACGGTTGGATGGCAGCACCTTGTACGCCTCCTTCTGGCAACTCCTGCAGCCAAGCTGGTACCAAATACATTGCTCTTCTAGCCTTGGACCACAGCAGAGAGGCCAAGAAGGGGGTCTTGTGCCTCGAGGAGGTCACTTCAGTGCTGCTAATGCAGTGGTTTGATTTCACCCCCAGAGGCCCACTCCATTGTCTCTCAAGACAGTTGAGTGCCAACAATTAGTTGTGTAATACAAAAATAGTGTGTAGCAAACTTACAAACAAATAAAAAGACAGAATTAAAAACTGAGCAGCAAATAACACTAGTAAAATTAATGACCTCAAGAACAGGAGAGAGAAAATGAACAGTTCTAATAGTATTTAGAAGAGAAAAACAACCCCCCTTGCTAAATGCAATCTTTTAGCATTACATACACAAGCATCTAAGTAATAAACAGATAAGGCAAATCAGCTAAGTGAGAGGGGGTAGTGTTGTAAGTTTGGGGGGCAAGACTCCCCTAAGGGTTACAGTTTAAGCCAGGGGTAGGCAACCTAAGGCCCGTGGGCCGGATGCGGCCCAATCACCTTCTCAATCCAGCCCATGGATGGTCAGGGAATCTGTGTATTTTTGCATGAGTAGAATGTGTCCTTTTATTTAAAATGCACCATCTCTGGGTTATTTGTGGGGCATAAGAATTTGTTCATCCCCCCCCCCAAAAAAAAATAGTCCGGCCCACCACTTGGTCTGAGGGACGGTGGACCGGCCCACAGCTGAAAAAGGTTGCTGACCCCTGGTTTAAGCAAATCTTTACATTCTTGAGTCTAGTAGGGGCTGGAGTTTAAACCAGTTTTTCCATGACCAGGAAACTGCCTGGCAGAAGAAGCACCAAGAGGTAATCACTGAAATGGCAGCGTCATGAACCCATTAAAAAGGCCATTAACAGAGACTCTCTGGGCTGGGCAGAAAACGGGGAAAGCTACTTCCTGAGGTGAGAGATAGTAGAGACAAAAGACCAGAGTTTCAGGAGGGAAGGGCAGAATTTTAGTGGGCAATGAGGTAAGTGAACAGGAATAAAAGTGTCAGTTTTGCAAGCTGGAGAGGTGAGGGGACCAAAGCATGAGGTAGGCAGTTTTTTTATGCTGCAGAGAGGGTCAGACCCAATGGTTGTGGTCTCTTTACATTGGAGTATGCAGCAATGGAAGGAACAAAACTCTTAAGATGTGAATGCTTTCCTCTCTCTCCCCATCTAGACACAGGTTGCAAATATGTGCAAATAATTCATGTATCATAAAGGCACCACAGACTCTCCTGTGCCTCTTTTTTCCAAAAGCAAACACAGACCCTGGGTTAATGCACCTGGGACCCCAGTATCTTGCACAGCCAGAGAGACTGCGGTGGCATGTAACAATATTAAAAGAAAAACACTTTCCCTTTTGCCTCCTCTCAAGGAAGGTCAGGAGGTTTAGTCCCTGCACACTCAAAGCAGCTGTGTTTCTGAGGAATAATTCTATGTCATAATATTATCCCAACTTCTTTTTTTACACACAAAAGATATATTTATAAATAGAACCAATGTGCAAGAGGGGGGCAGGGCCATGCCAGATAGAAACGACCTGATGTTGCAAACATATTGGCCCTGATCCACAGAACCTTGCATGCACCCCAGGTAACAGGCACCCCATGTTTAGGGAGTGAGGAGGGGAGGGTGAAAGTATATTTCTTCTAGCCATGCTTGTTAAAAAATATCTATAACATATTCAACATATAAGTAACCAAAACACACACACACATACACACAGTGCCAATTACTTCCTGTGAGTTATCAGGGGAGACTGATCTGGTTTCAGGCCTCACCCAAAGGCAGTTGCTGCTACTGATCAATGTTTGTGCTGCTGGGCCATTGAGAAAGAGCATGCAGAAATACACACCCTTCCATAGAACTCTGCTGGGATGACCTGACACTGCTTCTTGTGAAAATAGTTTTCTTGATTAAAGTAGAACTTTTCACATGAAGTTGCGAGTGGAGTAAGCATTTCAACATAGAATTTAACAGACAGCCAGAAAATAAATGTGATGAGCTTGGGAGCACCTTTTGACATTCCACAATCATAACCAAAGTTTCAGAGACACAGTCTCATGTTCACCCACTTACCACAGCAGCTTTGCTTCCTTACACAATACCATCTTCTCCTGGATACGACTTACAATAATCCATATTCACGCCCAGTGCTTTTTTTTTTTTTTTTGAGGCGGTATGTGCCGGTACACCTTACCAGCACCTCTTTCGCCTCTTTTCACTTTTCCAGGTTTCATCTGAAGTTCAAGTCCCACACCACAGTGCGAAGCAGCAAATGCTATCACAGCACTTCAGACCAATTGAAGTTATTTTTAATTGAACCTGAGCCTCTTTGGTCCAAGTCCAACACTTCACCATCAGCATTCCAGTACATTTCCAAGAATGATTTTTAAAATATTTGTTTTCATTACACATATACGATAGCATTGCATTCCATGTTTATCAGTCAAGGAGTTTCCACAGGTTCTCATGTCGCTATGGTACCTTCAAGTGGGTGAAACTCATTGGCATCTGCGCAGCACTGCAGATGGGTATAACTCAGGTGCGATGACTGGCAGGGTCTGACTCACCTGCCTCAGCGGAGATCTTTCCTGCCCCAGCAGCAATCGTAAGCAAATGAAGTCCTCAGTGTTATTACAATGCAAGGGGTACCTTACACCTCCTAAATATAAGGACAAAGTTCCATTTCTGTTGTGCCAAGTATTTCATGTTGAAAAGACCCACACACAGGACACAATAGTAAGCCATGGCATTACTTGTGAAGCTGTCCCAAGAACCCACCTTATTCTCCAGTGTGTCGCTTTTGAATGTTAGTGCACTAGAGAAAGAAAAGAGTAATGCTAAGAACAAAATCAGATGGAAAGTAATCTGAATGAAAAGAATGAGAAGAGAAATGAACATACCATTTTTGGCTACCCGAGATCATAAAACCTTTTAAAATCAATCCTGAGTTCACTTGGCATCCTCAGTTATCTATTATGATCCTGTCCAAGGCTGACTTTTTGTTTCCAGTGGCGTTTATTCAAAGTTGCTTTCCCTCCACCAGCTGGACTGCTCTTAAGCACCAGGAGTAATAGATCAACTGCAGGGCCTGAAACCAAAGATCCTCTCCCTCCCCATTTCCCCCTTCTAAAAAGGTCTTCAATGGAGAGAAATGCTGTGTTTCTACAGATGTTCCGAATAATTTTTTTTCATCCTCTACTGTGCTGCAAAGCATCCATGACCACGATATGTAATTAAATAGTAGATTTTATTGCAATAGTCAAACATGCAAAACAAAATGATTTTGTAGTTAGATTATAAATTAAATTGTATCCACAAAGTGTACAAAAATAAAGGGCTAATATACAACAGAGCTAAGTTCTGGGGGGGGGGCTCCTTCAGGTAGAGCCAGCTCAACCAGACACCCATACAGGTTTTGGTAAGTCACACTGATCATGTCAGCATGGAGGGGTGGGGTGAGGAATAGGAAAAAGGCAGGCAACTCCCCATATGCACCAACCTGCGGAGAGGGATTGAAGCATCCAGTGCTTTTTTTCTAAAAAAAAAGTTTAGGGGTACTCTTGTTTTGGCTGTTCCCCCTCCTACTCACCCCCTTCCTCCCCCCAACCCCCAGATGAGGGACTCAAGGCAGTAGCACTGAGAGGACTGGAAGGCCCCCCGGCGACGTAGGGGTCGGCTTCAGCGAGGAGGGGCGAGTGCTCACAGGCTAGCTCTAACCCAGCAAAAGGAAGAGGAGGAGGAGCGCCATCGCCTCCACCGCGGCCGCCCCCAGATTCCCCTCCCTGGGCACCAGTGGGGAGAATGATGGTGCTCCAGTCCACCCTGCTACTGCGGAGACAGCTGGCATGTCGATTTGTCCGTTGGTCAGTCAGGGCAATGCAAAATGTTTAGGGGTACGTGTCCCCCTCCGTCCCCACAGAAAAAAAGCACTGGAAGTATCATATCACCATTCTCCATAGCCACGCACCTTTTCCCCAGCCATTTACAGCAGCATATGGGTCTTCGCTAGTCTCCTGTGTTGTGCTGGTATTTTGTGTTGTGGAATAAAGGCCATGTTGATTCCCATTTATACTCCATGGAGATGGGAGTCTATTATTTGCAAATGAATGCAACCGGAGCCTTTGAAAGCCACCAGCAGCATTCTGGGCCATTTACTCTCCTAGAGAGTATTTCAGGATGGCAGGTATCAAAGCCAGCGGAAAGCCCCCTCAACTCTACTGTGGCAGAGACCATATTTAGAAGGCAGAAACACTGCTGGTTTTTCTCCCCACCCCACCCCACCCCCAGTCTTTGATTCAATTATTACCGGCTTTCAGTATAAAAGCTGCTTGTGCTATTACAGAAGCTTCATATCAAACCACTTTTCATTTATGTTCACACTACAGATTCCAGCTCGGTAGAGTCAAAGAGTTAATCACACGGCATGCCTCAGGCCCGAGAAATGTTTGATTGATGTGGACACAGGTTAAGGAAAGGTTGCTATGCGTGCCGTTCTCTTGCCCCCTGCCAGGGCGATCCTCCTAGCCTTCTAGCCCAGTCATTTCTCATCTAGGCGGCAATAAAGGTACATCGCTACAGCCATTGCTGCAACCTGGAAAGAGGAGAAAAAGCTTGAGTTTCTACACATCCCATCCAAGTGCTTTACACAGGCATTGCAGAATTAAAGAAAGTGAAGGCAGCTCCTTGTGCTCCTTATTACATCGAAGAGGAAGCAGGATAACACTGTAAACAAAGAACTGGCACAGCCTTAAAAAGAGAGAAGATCTGATCAAATTTCTAGCCTGCAATTTAAGATCAGAGAACCGTCCAATTCAGGATGAGAGGAGCTACCCTCGCTGCCCACACATTAACAAGCAGTTTCCACCATATAAGAGAGCAATATCTTCCTCCAAAATTCTTGGGGGGTTTTCCCCCCTGGGCCAAAAGAAGCCAACACCATGCCAAGGAAGTCTGCCCAGCAAGGACAATGCCAGGCTCCTCAACACACAGTACAGTAGCACTTGCACATCTGTTGTGCAATATGACAGTCACCTGGAAGAGGTTTCTGGTGTGGGAGACGGAGTAAGGGATCAAGACTTTAAGAATCCAACAGCACACATGCTCCTCCCTACCCTAGCACTGCTTATTCCTTTCTCCTCTCGCAACTTACAGGACTATTCACATCACTATATATTAACTGTGAAGTAGTAACATGCTGCCCAGTGTGAAATGGGTTGTTTGCCATTTCATGTTCTAGAATGAACAGCCACGGGTGGCTCTTTAGGCCTAAGCTTCAAATATCCTGTGGCATGCAAGCAAGAAAAGGTGCCAGGATTATGATGGTGGTAACCTTTTGATCATCAAGTGGTCACCGGGTACATGACTAGGAACCACAACCAGCAAGAACATCTACCTGTTACATCTCATCATTGGAGGCAAATGCTTCAGTACAAAGAGTATCGTCTTTCGTGGCCACCAGATCACAATAGTGGAATGGTGACAGCAGCAGCACAAATCCGTTCAGTCAACCTACCTCCAATGCACAGATCCCAGCTGCAACTCCACCTACTACACCAGCATTCTTGCGTATTTCAGACAGCAACTGAGGGAAGCAGCCCTAGGAATTTTTTGAAAAAGAAAATAGTATAAAAAATAAGTCAAATCCACTGCAACGCCGTTTGACATGATCAAGCAAGTGACACAAATCAGAAATGAGTAATAGTTCCCCTTAGAGGAATTTCATAGGGAAATTACCCAGATGCGCCAAGACTTTGATTTTGGGGGGAGGGTGGGTTCAATCATTTGGCAAAAATCACTGACCAAGGCCAAGGGAAGCAAAGAGGGAGAAAAGTATTACCTACATGCAAAGCTGCAGAGGTTTCCAGGTGCTAGCCAGAGCCCGCAATGACTTTAGACTGTACTAGCAGCAGATGGCCAGTCGTCATAGACGACACCCAGGAGCAAGGCCAAAAGACACCCACCCATCATTATCAATGTCAAAATGTTTACACCCCACCATTTAAAAACAAAATACACATTCTAATAGACATATTGGGGGCAGCAGTACAGTCCTCTACCAACCATCAAAGGTGGTGAGGGGAAGTGCAACAGACCCACTAAAAATTTGTTGTGGTCCCCCAGAAATCTCATCCCCAGAGACTCCGGGAAGTCCCCCAAATCTGCCAGCAAATTCTAGTTCAGCTGGAATTCACCAAAAGTTTTGTGTAGAATGCTTCTCAGCAGTGAGATTGACAGCTTGTCAGAAGATGAACTGTTACCCTCATGGCAAGATGCACTTCCCCAAGACAGAGGCTTCATAAATACCCAGCATCTTCCCTCAACACACAAGAGTCAGCAAAGGTTATTCCCCGCCTATTCACCATCCTTCACATCAAAATGTATTGAGAAAAACAACAGCACTCATTTGTTTTCTTACTGGCATCTCTCTTGCCTGGGCGGCGGCTTCAGTGCAACGAGGCACACTTTCACAGCAGAATGGTGGATACTCGTTGTTCTTCTCAAAGTAGTAGGAACCACTGAAGTCTGTGTAATTCATTAGACCACAGCATTTCAACTGAAGAGGAGAATGTAAAGAGAGAGAAAAAAAGGGGGGTGACTCACCACAGTATAGCCTTTACATCCTAGAGTCCTAAATGGCAACTGGTAATCAACTAATTGTCCCAGTGCCTCATCAGGAGAGCCTTTTCTTCAAGACGGAGAAGAACTATGTGGTAACTTAGACAACAATGACCCCTCTGCGGCATGAATATGTAAAGAACTGGAAACGAATGGCTCACACTTACTCTAACACTCCCTCACATTCTTTCTAGAAACTGTAAATACAATGTACATACACAGAGTGCTTACACATCATGCACTACAAGACCCAACATTTCAACCAATTGAGCATGTCTCTGAAAAGTAAGAGATTTTGTAAATACATCAGCAACAACCATTTTGCTTTCACATTATTGCATATTTATTTATTTGTTTGTTTGTTTGTTTATTTATTTATTTTTCAATTAGCAATCATTGCGCCTCAGCTTAACCTCATTGGCTATGATACTGCCACTGTGCAAAGCTGCAATATTGCAAGTGTATCAAATTTTGTTTCACACATTCTCTCACGTTTCAGAACTTTATGTCCACATGTTTTGTTCTACCCTTAAACTGATCAGACTCTGCCATTGAAATGGTTGCTTGATTGTCTTCTGCTACCTGCATTGGAAGTACACACTTGACTCCTATGTCAGTAAGAATTTTTACGTACCATACCAATTCATTACACAGATCTGATATGTCATTATATTCAGCCTCTGTGGAAGAATTAGTTACACTCCCTTGTTTTCTGGAGTTTTACCCAACTAGGGAATTGCCAAATTTAAACACTAACCCAGGCACTGACTTTCTGCCTGGTAAATTTGCCCAATCGCTGTCTACAAAACACTTTAGTTCTTCTGGTCCTGAGGACAATAACTTAAGACAATAATCACGTGTTCCTTGTAGATATGTGAAAACATGATTTAACCCTTTCCAAGCCACTTCAGCAGGCTTACTTACAAACCTACTCAATATTCCAAGAGAATAACTGAAAGAGGGATCACTTTGCAGCTTAAAAAAACAAATAGCAATCCAACAGCCTTCCCTCCTAGGGTTACCCATTCCTCCAACATATTAACACAGGCAGCCCTTGCAGCTATCTGACTAGGACAGCAGCCCAAGCATTAGGACTTAGAGTTCACCAAGGTTCTTCCCTTGCTTGTTATGTGTCATGGCATTGGAATGGGCCTTTCAGCTAACATAGCAACCCTAGGCTCAAACCTTCTTCTAGGCAACTAAGCCTTCAGGATCAGACAACCCAGGTTGCTCCCAATAGTTATTATGTATATATAGTATCTCCCTATTCTCCATGTATTCTCCAATAAGGCCTGCTCCACTGCAATGATAAACTCAGCTGTCCTGGTGGGCAGTTCTATCCTGAACATTCAGGAACTGAAATTACTATTCACCTTCAAAATTGGTTCTCCAGTTAAAACCCCTTGTAACCTCTTGCTGCTCTTCTCTAAATGCTCTCTTTGTACCCACTTCATCATTTGCAAATAAAAGCCACACCCAGTAGTTTTAAAAGGCAGGCTGAGTCCAAGAATAAGAATGCCATTGTCCCCTTTGGTATCGTGCAGGCTACTATAAAAACAACCCTGGAACTCACTTGGGTTTCCATCTAAGTCAAGCAGAATACCAAGGACAATCAATCATCACTGCCAGTTTACCAATTCTTCATAGTCCCAAGCTGTTCTGTGGGCCAACTTACATCTTCCATTGTTTTGTTCCATACTGTAGTGAGGTCAGGAGACTTCCCATACTCTTTTTTCAATAACTGTGTCACTGTTCCTTGAAGTATAGTCTCAGCCTGGAAGGAGGTGAGAGATAATGGACAACAGCATGTCAGGACATGAGAGCAGTACATGTGAAAAGGATCTAGGAGTCTTGGTTGACCACAAACTTGACATGAGCCAACAGTGTGACGCGGCAGCTAAAAAAGCCAATGCAGTTCTGGGCTGCATCAATAGGAGTATAGCATCTAGATCAAGGGAAGTAATAGTGCCACTGTATTCTGCTCTGCTCAGACCTCACCTGGAGTACTGTGTCCAGTTCTGGGCACCACAGTTCAAGAAGGACACTGACAAACTGGAACGTGTCCAGAGGAGGGCAACCAAAATGGTCAAAGGCCTGGAATCGATGCCTTATGAGGAACGGCTAAGGGAGCTGGGCATGTTTAGCCTGGAGAAGAGGAGGTTAAGGGGTGATATGATAGCCATGTTCAAATATATAAAAGGATGTCATATAGAGGAGGGAGAAAGGTTGTTTTCTGCTGCTCCAGAGAAGCGGACACGGAGCAATGGATCCAAACTACAAGAAAGAAGATTCCACCTAAACATTAGGAAGAACTTCCTGACAGTAAGAGCTGTTCGACAGTGGAATTTGCTGCCAAGGAGTGTGGTGGAGTCTCCTTCTTTGGAGGTCTTTAAGCAGAGGCTTGACAACCATATGTCAGGAGTGCTCTGATGGTGTTTCCTGCTTGGCAGGGGGTTGGACTCGATGGCCCTTGTGGTCTATTCCAACTCTATGATTCTATGATTCTATGGTAAACTAAAATCCCAAATTGCAGGCAGTGCACATCCCAAACAAGATCTGTTGGGAACGGTAACCTGAATTCCTTTGCTAAAGAGCAACATTTTTGGAGCTTTTGCATATTTAGGGTTGTGTATTTTTAGGGTTGCCATATTTTGAAGAGCAAAAAAAGAGGACGCTGTGATGACTCTCACTTAAAATACTCTTACTATATGTAGGCTATAGAAGCTGTGATATATTGCTGACGGGGGACAGAAGAAGAGAAGAGGAAAGCAAGTCTTCAGCCATCTGTTATGTCTGTATCTCATCCAGAAAGTATAGCCAGAAACATATTGGCAAATTAAAAAATCCACCCAGACAGAAATTTTACCCCTGAAAAGGAGGGCATGTCCTAGAAAGAGAGGACACATGGCAACCCTATTAACCCCTAAGCCTTAAAAGCCAATCTGGTCTAAACCCTATGCCTTAAAGGCCAAACTTTAATATCTTTTTTTATCTGTCTGCCCCATTCTTTTTATGATATGGGGCTGTGGGGTAAGAAGGGCCCCAGATCTTCCCTGCCTTATTCCCCCCCCCCCACTCTCACCCAATTCACCTTTAGAATAGCCAGGTTCGCTTTTGGTAAAACTGCCTGAAGTTCCCCTCATTATATTATTTAGTAGTAGTAGAAGTAGTAGTTGTTGTTGTTATACACAGCCCTTCATCCAAAGATTTCAGGGTGGTTCACAAGATAAAAAAAGATATTAAAGTTTGGCCCAGTCACCTTCCTTTTTATACATGAGCAAACATGGCTGTTCAGTTACTTTTAGGCTGCATACATCCTATAATTTTAAAGCACATTGGAAGCACATTGTTCCTCCTCAAATAAATCTAGGAACTATAGTTCACCCCTCACAGAGTTACAATTCCCAGCAACCCAGCAAGGAATTCAGGCTACCCTACCTGTGGATAACAACTTTTTTTTTTTTTGTCAGGGATACAAACAGCAACAACATGATATATTGCTAGGAAAAGCAGGAACTGAAAACAGATCGGTCTGAAAATGGGAGGTTGAAGTGCAAATATTAAACCGTGACAAACAAAGCTGGTCTTTGACTCTTATTTACATTTAAGTTAAAGAACCCTTGCAGGAGGGGGGGGGGGGAGAGAAGGTTTCAGGTTTCCTTCACCCTTAATTTGCTTTTGATGTTAACAATTAGGATCTCCCTGAAGCTCTTGCAAATTAGCCAGACCCATGATTCTGTGTGTATCAGCAAAATAATCGAAAGTTTAAATGAATTTAAACAAAACAAACGTGGTAGTTGCCCCATCACACCCAGTTTGTTTCTAGACATATGAAGGTCCAGACTAGGAGCAGCCACCTCTTCTCATAGGTCAAGAAAATCAGCCTGGTATAAACTTTAATTTCTCAATAAATAAATAGGAAAGTCTCTTTGTATTGCCACATACGCCTTTATTTGGAGATTTGTGTACCACCCCAACCTAGAAGTTCCAAACCATTAAGTAAATTAAAACCAATTCATTGAATGAAGGTATTTAATGTTCCCAAATGCAACATACAAAACCATTAAGATATGTCAATGTCCAAAACACTGATGTAGAGATTTTGCTACTTTCAAGAAACTTTGGCTTGAACTACTCTTTGTAGGATTTCTCAACTGCACACCTTCCCCTAAAAGAGCCATGTGATACAGTGGTTGGAGTGTTGTTCAAGGGCTTGGGAGACCAAGGTTAAAATACTGTACCTGCTCCACCATGAAGCTCAGCAGGAGACTCTGGGCCAGTCATGGTCTCTCAGCCTAACCTACCTCACAGGATTGTTGTGAGGGTAAAGTGGGGAGTGAAAGGACCATGTCTGCAATCCTGAGCTACTTGGAGGAAAGGTGGGGTTCTAAATGGAATTGTGAATAAATAAATAATAGCATAGCATTATTTCAGCAGAGGCTAGGAAATAAGGAGTGGTTTTTTTGTGTGTTTTGTTTTATTTTGTTTTGTATTGTTTTCCCCCAATACTGAAAGCCTATCACTCAAAGAGGGAGTGTTTTGAGACTTACAAAGGCACTTACACCAAATGCTTTGAAGCAGCCGGAAGCTGAAACATCTACAGGCTAGGACAGCTACTTCAAGACTAAGCCACTTGTTCCATACTCATCCCTCTACTCCATGTTACTTACAAGAGAAGTGTAGACCAGGGCCACCACTGCAGCAGCAACTTCTATTATGAAGATGATCAGGACAATTGAGAAGAACTAGGAGGGGAGAAAGCATAGGGTCAGATTGTTCACTCCATAAAGTGTCAAAGACAAGAAAAAGGCAAGGACTGTTTGGATCGCTTGGACAAGTGTGCTATACAGCTATCTTACCTTTCCAAGGATACCTAGCTACAAGTCTTCAAGAATTTGTAAATGGCACAAAGAGGGACTATCAACACAATGTTCTAGTGGGGAGGGATTTTCCACTGCTCTGGACTTCCTTATGTAGCATGATGAGACACAGACCTGGATCTCCCACAAGAAAGAGATGCAAGCACTTCTTCAAATCACAGCCTGGCTTCCTAGATCTTTCAGCATACTGAAAGACATTTTCACCTCAGTGCAGCAGTTCTGACTTTTCTCAGATCAATCTAGAACACATATATAGCCACAACTTCCTCATCAGATGAGAAGGCTTAATATTCACGTGTCTGTTTTCTCTTAGCAAGAAGAGGAAGGAAATGGGGATCAAGATACATGACAGCAACTCCAAGAACCACTATTCTCTCTATGGGTAAAAGATTTGATGACTTAGGATCCCTTCCTTCCTGAGCCAAGCATTCAGACAGGTTGTCTGACTCAGGGGTAGCCAACCTGGCACCTTCCAGATTGGTTGTTGACTACAGCTCCCATCATTCCTGGCCACTGGCTATGCTGCCTGAGGCTGATGGAAGCGGAGACTCCAACATCATCTGGAGGGCCACATATTAGCCAACCCTGCTTTAAGAGGACAGCTTTCCCCAATGTCTTCAGTGCTCAAGTTTATCAACAAGCACTTTTCCTAAAAGCAACACAACTGTACACATCTGCAGCAGGCAAGAGATGGAAATTGCTTAATGTCTGCATTTTACCATGATGAGGAGGCACTTGCTCTCCTTCTGAGCGCCACAGCATCCTAGGAAGCCCAAGAAAAACAGGACGGCTCCAATGGCAATGAGAAGGTAGCCCACATTCACAAACTGCAGGACACTGGAGGACAAAGGGCCAAACGTGCTGACAAAGTTGCTACTGTCAACACTGACCCAGATCCCAATGCCCAGGAGTGCTCCTCCGCCAATCTAGGAAAGAAAGAAAATAGAGTTATTTCAAAATGTAGGTACTGGAAACACACGCAGTGACCCATAATTACGACACTTTAAGCCTATGCAACAGATGGCACCCACCTAACTGCAAACAGCTCACTAGGCTACATATTGTATGTAGCCTGTCAGCTGAAGCACTAGACACCTTCCCCTCCACCCCATTTTTGCAGTCCTAGGCGGCAACGAAAAATGAGATTCATGAGACCTTCATAGGTCATCCTACATAAGCTGAAGGGCTGCATTTAACTTGGCAAGGCACAAGGTGTGCAGGTTTGCTGTACCTGAACCACACAGGTTAGTGGAGACAACCTTTACAACTATTATTAGCCGTATAAAAGACTCTATACAACAACAGCTGCCCTTTGAAGCTTTTTCTTTTAAAAAAGAATGAAACTTCTCACAAGACATTAGGAAATGTAGGCTTCTGCCTGCCAGCCATCATTGGCAAGAGTGCAAGCCTTGTCCTATTCATTTTATTAATAAAACAAATAGCCACCCCAACGCTGTGAGTCCTTAGGGAAACAATTGGGAATATCAGTAGTAACTATTAATTCCAGGGCATTTCCTAATTTTTCTCGGTTCTCATCAACAAAAATGTCTAGTCATGAAGATGCAGGGGGTCAAGAGTCCACAGATCAAGTCTGCATGAATTTTGGCTTTTGTTTCATATACAATTGTACCAGAATGTTGTTAATCTCTATTTCATCACCTAAGGCTATGCTACGGACATGTGGCCAGAATATCCTTAAAAGAATTAACTGCCAATACAGAGGCCCTGGATCAGTTTGGGACTGTGATCTTGGAAGTGGAGGGTGGGTTGTCTATATGTTTCCCCTGTGGAGTAGATAGCAAACTGGGAGAAGTGGAACAGGGAAAACTTACTCCCCACCACAATCCCATTATGATTTGTGGGTTAAGGCAGCTTATTTGCTTTTTTTTTATTGGAACATCCTGATCATAATTCTCCCATATCATTTCTATCTCGTGAAGTACAAGGACGACGTGTGTAGGAACTCATTGTTCACTGGTTTCTAGAGTTCAAACAAATAAACTGCTTTTGGGGGATGGGGAAGCAGCAGAGAGAGATACAAAAAAACCCCAACATATCCTTGGTTTTGTCCACATTATTTATGATGCAGTACTCTTGACGCATCATAAGGGACGCGGGTGGTGCTGTGGGTAAAAACCTCAGCGCCTAGGGCTTGCCGATCGAAAGGTCGGCGGTTCGAATCCCCGCGGTGGGGTGCGCTCCCGCTGCTCGGTCCCAGCGCCTGCCAACCTAGCAGTTCGAAAGCACCCCCGGGTGCAAGTAGATAAATAGGGACCGCTTACTAGCGGGAAGGTAAACGGCGTTTCCGTGTGCGGCTCTGGCTCACCAGAGCAGCGATGTCACACTGGCCACGTGACCCGGAAGTGTCTCCGGACAGCGCTGGCCCCCGGCCTCTTGAGTGAGATGGGCGCACAACCCCAGAGTCTGTCAAGACTGGCCCGTACGGGCAGGGGTACCTTTACCTTTACTTTACCTTTACTCTCGGTAGGTATATACCTGTGTTTTGTATTGCCTTTTTTATTTTGTAAAATGCACTGTGACCATTTTTGGGGAAGGGCAGTATAGATATTCCTTAATAAACCAACCATCAAATAAATACTGGTGCAGGTTTTCTGAAGGGATTGGGACCTTAATGGGAAAGACAAGTCACACACCCCTTGTTGAACAGAGGTTCAACAGGCACCACTTTTGTGTTTTAATCTCATCTATCATATCTGTAACAGCTAGGAACCTACCCTTTTTCACACAACAAATAGTTTTAGTTGGCTCCTATGTCAGGAATAGAATATTGAAATAAGCAACTGGAAGGGCAATGCTATTAGGTCACAATTCTATTTAATTGGGAGTAAACCCCACTGAACTGAGCAGGAGTCACTTCTGACTAGACATGTATAGGACTGTTAGTGGCTAAAGAAGCACAGCCTTCTCCTCTTGACTAAGAAGAGACAGGTTAATTCTAAATTTAGAACAAGGGTGTCAAAACCAGACAGGACTTCTAAGAGCTGTGTGGATGATGTTTCTGCAGGTGCAGCTTCTTACACCTGTATGGCAAGGTGTGCTTTGCCAAAACTCCCTCTTCTACCTAATCATTAGTGGTTTGCAAATTATTTGCAAACGTTCCAAGGTCTCTTGAATTACAGCAAGCCAAGAGGTTGAAGAGTCCCAACAAAACAAGAGTCTTTGTCCACTTCCTGATTCCCTCTCTAGGCAAGTCATATCAAAAACCCACTCCCAAGAGCTTGGTCCCAGTCTTTTGTTTATTTTAAAAAGTGAAGTATGCATTTGGCACCATGCAGAAATGGTCCCAAGCCATTCAAAGCAATTCTCCTTGGCCGGAGCTGCCAGTTTTGTTTGCCCTCAAATAAAAGGGCAGGGCAGGCACTGATTCGGTACACACTGAAGAGCAGATTCCAGGTAAGACCTTGTTAATGAAGTGGAGGAAGAGTCAAGACAGCAGCGTTCCACCTTTGTCCTTTGGCAAAGGTGAAAGAGCCAAAGATCAGCTATGGCAGTGGGGTAATGATGGGGCAGGGCCAGAGGCAAAAATGAGCAGGGCAATGAATGCGAAATTGACCCTTGCACAGAGGCAGTGGTGGATCTTCATGCTCCAGCACCAGGGGGTGGCGGAGAGCAGGCGGGGCAGGGCTGGCCTGCATCCTGGGGGCAGGGTGCACCACCCATAAGGGCGTGGCCTGCGTCCTGGGGGCATGGCGTGCCGCCCGTAAGGGTGTGGCACCCAGTGCGGGTGGGGGAACAGCCACGATGGCACCCCACCGGGATTGCGCTGCCGGGGGCAGTGCACTCCTCCCGCACGCCTCTTCCTCCACCACTGCACAGAGGGCTAGTTTCTACACACACCCATTCGTCTCCATCCAGGCAAGCAAAATGCATTATCAGAATTCAAGGACACATTTCAGCCAGGCAAAAAGACTCAAGGAGGATGCAAAGCAGGGCCAGTAAAGTGCGTCACCTGAGGGCCAGAAGGCATATAGGGCTGTATTTGCTCCCCTCCATGGTGCCTGAGATTCTCCACATCTGCACTTTACTAGAGCAGGTCTTACTTTACACATGAACCCAACCCCATACCATCAGAAGCCCTTGTATATATACAGCTGTGTGTATATATACACACGGAGGACTCTGTCCACATCATCAGGAAGCAACAGGTGGCAGGGCTCCTGATCACATGGAAAGAGCCCTCCATGCTTATTTGTACAAGGGTTCTGCTCAGATACCACATGATCATGCAAAGGGGGAAATGCCATTCATAGTCACTGAGCATGCAACCTCACTGCCTGAATGTACCAAATCCATAGTGTCAACCTCTCCCATGTAATTCTTTACCAAGAAGCTTGGTAAATATTAGAGCAGCAAGGGATATTGTTTCCTCTGCTTTCAAGACTGCATCAGCAAACCCCCTTTATGAATCTTCCCTTTAAAGAGGAAGTTGCTTCATTCCAAGAAATCTGTACCCTTGCCAGAGTCTGCTGAAGAAGCCCATTTTGGATCCTGAGGGCAGGAATTAAGGACCACTTCTCTCATGTGAAGTCATCTTCCCTATACAGATAAGAGAAGTGGAATATACACTACCACATATGATTACCATGCAAATGGATGCCAGGAAGGCATAGCTGGCACGAACTATCAATGAAGCAATAGAGACAATGTGTGTAGTCTTCATGAGAATGTGCAGAGATGCAACACATGTTTCCCCATGTAGACAGCAGCCCCCCAGGGTTATAAACAGATCTTCTTAGATGCCCATAGCCCAATCTCTTCTTCTGCACTACGCCACAAACGTAGTAAGAAAGCACTGAAGATATACCTCCATAGTCTACTATTGTATTCATTATATTTTAATATTCCTGCTTATAAACCCAGCATTTGTCAACACTTACTGACTGGCCTGCCCTGTGTATTATTTTACTGTTATTTATATTATTTATTAGATTTGTATATTGCCCTTCATCTGCAGATCTCAGGGCAGTAAACAATCTTCCTTTGGGAAACCCAAAGGAGTTCATTTAAAATTGGAGCTGATTCAGAACAAAACTTTTGAGATGATTTGGGTTGTATTCAACTAACTCTTATTTATAGCAAACCCATGGAAATTAATAGACCTAAGTTAGGCATGGCCATTAATTTCAGTGGTCTCAACTCCAAGTAAAAATTAGTTCAATGCAAGCCCTCAGATTTGGTTCTTTTGGAATAAAGGTCACTGGGAGCTAATGGTGTTATCTGTAGTGTGAAATTTACTTACACGTAAAGGTAAAGGTAAAGGTAAAGGGACCCCTGACTGTTAGGTCCAGTCGTGGACGACTCTGGGGTTGTGGCGCTCATCTTGCTTTACTGGCTGAGGGAGCTGGCGTACAGCTTCCAGGTCATGTGGCCAGCATGACTAAGCCGCTTCTGGCAAACCAGAGCAGCACACAGAAACGTCGTTTACCTTCCCACCAGAGCGATACCTATTTATCTACTTGCACTTTGATGTGCTTTCGAACTGCTAGGTTGGCAGGAGCAGGGACCGAGCAACAGGAGCTCACCCCGTCATGGGGATTCAAACCGCCAACCTTCTGATCAGCAAGCCCTAGGCTCTGTGGTTTAACCCACAGCGCCACCCGATTACACTTACATACTAGCTAATAATAAAAGGGAAGGTTCACAGAATTAACACACCAACAAATGTTTCTCCCCCATTAAGTTTTAGAGGGGAAAGGGTCCAGGGCTTTGGACTCTACACAGGACACTAGTCCCAAGACTGCTGGATTGCTCTCTCTCGCCTCCCACCCAGACCCTGAGATCATCACTTCCAGTTGGTTGAGGTGGGAAGACAGACAGTTCTTCAACTCAACTTCCAGAGCTGTCTCCAGCTAGTTTCTATGGCAACAGTTTGGCCCAAACTTACTAACAAAGTAGATACTTAACAGACCTGGCTAAGCTATTTACCCAACAAAAGGACTTGTTTGGCCATCAACAGTCTCTCTTTCTGCAGAATCCAATCTTATAGCTAGAACAAAATAGCCGAAAACCTATTTAGTCCAACCGCAAACTTATTACAGAATGTTGCAACACCCCATGGAACTATTGCTCTGAACATACATACAGATTTCTCAAGCCCTAGATACCCTCCAGCCTACATAGGGCACTCAACATAATGCAGATCACCTCACAAGAACTCACTTCAGCTAGAGCCCCAGTGCATTTAGGGAGCCACTTGGAAGCTATTCCTGTGGGCTTGCAGGTAGATGAAAAAAGACAGAGTATGCCAAAGAATAGGCTTGAGCCAACATAAGAGACTTCCTTGAGAGTATTGCCACTGAGGCACCAGCGGAGTGTGTAGGAGGGTGGCTGCACAGCTTGTAGAAACCCTATTAACAGGGCAAACATGAAACCAACACGACACCCACAGAAACCATAAAACGCACTCAGCCTGTCCAGAGACAAGGAAGGAGGCTTGAGAATACATTTTAATGAGCACTTTGGCTTGCGTCATGATAGTGTTCAAGCTACCCATTGCCGTTTTGTGGGCTTGGCCTGCCATTGCATGAAGGCACACCCGTCATCTGGGATCATAAACCACAACCGAATATCACGGTGCTGCATGTGTTTGCCCCATGGGTGTGGCAGCTGAAGAGGCAGCCAAAGTCAGAGGACGTTCCCCACAAGCCAAGCAACCGCTCCATGTTGTTCAGTACAAGGTTTATATGTGAACCAAAACAGCTGTAACTTGTGTGGGTGGACAGATTCTGGATTCCTTGAATGTGATGTGCAGAACACTGAAAGGCACAGTAAACCAGGTCCAGCACAAAATCAGAAAAGGCCAGCAGGTCATGTGATACAGGCTCTAGAGATGTTTATCCTGAGATAAAAGGCACACCTAGGTGAGATTCACACAGTATGTCTCAGGCACAGTATTTGTAGTTAAAACTCTTCAGTAGCACCAGGGTTCAACAGGTAAAGACCATTATTCTGATCACTAGAATTGTTACAACAATGACGTGCATCTTGTTAACAAATTATATACGGGAAGCACGCTGCCAAAGAGAAAACCTAATATTTCTTAAAGTAAGATTTGTCCAAGCTAAGACTGTTACCGGTCCTTCTGTTTGGGGATCAGCATGCAGTACAGTGCTAAACCTATTTTCTTAAAAGTAAGTGTCCTTAGGATTGCTGCCTATGCTATATTTCGGCAGTGTACACACCATATGTTTAAACCACATTTCTGCCCCTGCAAAAAATTAATAATCAGGGGTTTACTCCTCACCGAGGTGTAATTCCCAGCACCCGTAACCAACCACAGTTCCCAGGATTCTTTTTTTTTTGGGGGGGGGGTTGAATGTGCTTTAAATGTATGGTATGTATATTGCGTATATCTCTCAAGATCTTTAAAAATACAGATGTGTTACCTATAAACTAGGCACCTTATAGGGTTTGCCTCACCAAGTTATACTTTTACAAGACTAGCTACCTCGTTCCTAGGGAGAAAAGGGTTAATACTTACCACAATGGCCAGGTTAAATAAGACCATCATGACCTTCAAGAAAGTGAAGCAGCTCATCTTGATTGCTATAAAAAAATTAAGGAGGAAGTTAACTAACAGCAACTCAAAAGCCTCTTAGTTTAAAGAGATCTAATCCCAACTCATGATCCAGACATTTGGGCACAGGGTTAGTACATGGTCCAATGCAAAGAAGGGTTACTAGGAATTCTCAATGGAAGATTCAATGTAGTAAGCATGCTCCAAATTGCACCTTCAGAAACAGGTGGAACTTATGCAAGAGTACACATAATCCAACATGCCCCTCATGCACACAGACACACACACACACACAAAGAGAAAGTGCTATGTTCTTCTTCAACTAAATTAAAATCCCTTTCTATCTTGAATCAAATCCTCTTTTAGATACATATTTTAGGAAACTTCCTCCCCGCTACATTCTACAGAGCATTAGAAAGATACTTTAGTAAATGAAGAAGAAAGCACACCAGAAATAGAACTTTAAGCATCTCTGGTGGCAACAGTACCTTTTGCCATAAGGGAGGGGACCGGTTAATGCCATTTTCCCAGGGCAGCAGTGAGGGAAACAAACACCTGGTGAACTGAGGAGAGGACTTTGAAAAAGATCTTTCCCCCAACCTCACTTTGCTACCTCCACCTGGGAGCGAATCAAAACAAGGAGCCACAAGACAACATCATTCTGTACCATCAATAGTACTTGGTATTCCTGATCCATCAAAATAGTAGCCTAGTCATTTACTTTTTTGAACCATGTCAGTTAAAGCAGCAGCTTTACAAAACCTTGTACGGTCAATTTTAATAAAAGGCAATTTGTCCTCTTCACATTCCTCTGTAAATTTTTTGGGGAAGATTTCAAGGAGGAACCACACTGAAACAAGCTGCCCTTAAACAAGGTTTCTGCTTTAAAGGAAGAGACTTGAATCTACTTCGCACACTGATGCCAGTAAACACAGATGAAACACACACCAGTCTCCTTCTTCAACAACAAAACCTTTACAGACCAAAGAAGTTCCATAGACTCACCTTAAAAGGCAACAACCAACTCGAGAAAAAGACCTGGACAACTCCTAGCTACCTTTCCAGTAGGCAAAGCGGTCAGCTTTTAAAGTAAACTGAACCAGCTGTTGTTTCAGGCTATAATAAATATCCCTTCAGCCTATAAGATGTATCCCTTTTTCAGGCCAATCAAATCTCTTTAAGGGCAAAAACCACACCTCTCTAGCACTTTAAATTTTTTTGAAAAAAATTAAGCAACAGGGAGTAGACTAGTTTTCTTTATTCTTTACTGCCCTCTGATGGCTGTAGGTGAATATTTATTAATGAATAAGAATTTTAAAATGTACTTGCACATGCATGTACACCGAGGGCAGCAAAGTCCTGCTACCTGGAAGAGAGAGAGTGTGTGTGTGTGTGTGAGTGAGTGAGTGAGAGAGAGAGAGAGAGAGAGAGAGAGAGAGAGAGAGAGTTTCTGTGCATGCAAGTGCAGTGCCAACAACAGCAGAAATGGAAACTGCTGCCATAGCAGTACATTCCACACCTAGCCATGGTCCTCCCTGGCTTTGCAAGTGACAGTCTCTGGCGGTGGAATTAAAGGAGGAGCATAACAAGCCATGAGAGGAAGATACACAGTGCTGGACATGCTGGCTTCCTCAAGCCACTCATTCTGCTGCCACTGATGCCAGCAGACATGCTGCCCATCCTGACACCCTGCATGAGCTTCTCAATCACTGGTGTCAACAAGTCCACAAAACCACCACCAGGTCACAAGAGTACATTCAGGGGCTAGGTACAGTGGCGGAGCTTCATGCTCCAGCACTGGGGGGCGGAGAGCAGGCGGGGGCAGGGCTGGCACGCGTCCTGGGGGCATGGCACACCGCCCGCAGAGGCGTGGCATGCCGCCTGCGGGTACATGGCGCCCAGCACAGGTGGGGGAAACAGCCGCAATGGCACCCCACCGGGATCACGCTACTGGGGGCAGTGCACACCCCCCGCACTCCTCTTCCTCCGCCAGTGGCTAGGTAGACTTACTTTCTCAAGTGATTTGCTCTACATGGACTGTGGCCTCCTATGGCGCAACAGGTCAGTGTGTCTGGCTGTTATTCAGAAGGTTGGTGGTTCAACCCCACCCAGGGGCAGAATTCCTGCATTGCAGGACCTTAGATGACCCTTGGGGTCCCTTTGAACTCTACTGTTCTCTGATTCTATGACTTTAATATTAATGTATGCAGAATATAAATTCAAAGCTATGAAAGCAGTACCTGCACTAAGCCACTAGGAGGACCTCTGTCATCGCATTAAAAAGCCGTGGAGTGCAACGGTTTACATGTCAGACTTAACCCTTGCTAAATTCATTCCCTGCCACCCGAGACAATTGTCTCCATTGGCCATAATGGGCCAGCTCTGCTCCCAAGTCAAGAAATTTTTGGTAGCCTTTTGAAGTCGGGGACTGAAGAATGGCAGCTCACACTAAAACAATCTTAAATAGGAATTCCCAAAAGGCAACGATAGGGACTAGACTGGGAGAATGACACTCCAATCCCAGTGTATAGGGACATTTAGAGCATACAGATTTTTAGCAGCCTCTTCCTATAAACAAAAACAGCTCTTCTGCATCAGACCAGAAGCTCATCTGGTCCAGCATCTTATTTCTCAACCACAGTGAGTAACCAGATGCTTACAGGATCAGATCGTGAGCCAATCCACCCACACAGCAAAATGAGATGACCGCAGGATCCACAGGGACAGCAGATTTGACCTCCAAGGAATGCATCGCCCGCTGATGCGAAGGCTCCAGTGTGCTCCTTGGAGGCTGGATCTGCCTCTTCCTCAGCAGCCCACCCCCATGTGTCTGACGGCAACTCGGGCCTTGCCACTGCAAAGATCTCCTTGACCTCTGCTCTGATGTACATCAGCGACTCAAGCTTACAGACTTGAGCACACTTTACTCAGCAGTGTATACTGCGCGACAGAAGAGCTTGAGGCTGTAGATACATACTAAGCTACACATTTATTAAACATAAATCAGGACAAAGAAACATGTCGTCTCTCCTTGCCATCTTCTCGGAGAGCCAAAAACAACAGCTATACAGAGCGGAAGTTCTGCTTACGCCAGCAATCTGCACTGGAATGTAAACAGACATGTGACACGCAACAATCCCATGTCTGCAGCAAAAGGTGGAATGGAATTCCAACAGTGTCCTCCACAGTGGTCTCTTGGCAAATAGGAGGCGCTGTTGGTCTCCTCCCACCCCTAGGGATGAAATGGCAGGGACTTGTCTCTGGGGTCTCCTGGGCTCTGCACCTATCCAGCATGATTCAGAGCGGACCCTTCCACCTTGCCCCCATGGCAGCCTTTGATTCTCAGTACAGCCATCAGGTGAGGTTGATCTGATTCCCCTCCTAGTTCCTAAGATATATATATTTTCAGCCACCTCCTTGCTTCCAATATAGATATTCACTCCCCACCCCCCACCTTATTCCCAATGCAGATCTTCATTCATCCCTTCTTCCCTTGCAGGGAAGCAGGTACCATTTTGTGGTTTGCCTCAGGTACTAAAATTACTTGATCAGGCCCTGAATGAAGTCCATAGCCTTCTTCTGCTTTTGTTCCTCAGTAAGTGGTTTGAATCCCCGCGGTGGGGTGCACCCCCGTGCTCGGTCCCAGCACCTGCCAACCTAGCAGTTCGAAAGCACCCCCGGGTGCAAGTAGATAAATAGGGACCGCTTACTGGCAGGAAGGTAAACGGCGTTTCCGTGTGCTGCGCTGGCTCGCCAGATGCAGCTTTGTCACGCTGGCCACGTGACCCGGAAGTGTCTCCGGACAGCGCTGGCCCTCGGCCTCTTGAGTGAGATGGGCGCACAACCCTAGAGTCTGTCAAGACTGGCCCATACGGGCAGGGGTACCTTTACCTTTTTAAGTGGTACCGGTATTTAATGTTGTCTCTGATCCTAGAGATAGTACATAGACATCCTGTTTCTGATAAGAACAACGACAGAGGTCACAGAAAGAGTGGAGCAACAGTCACCTGTGGTGGCATTTCTGGGCCTCCTGCAAAGAGACCACGTGCTTTGCATGCAGAAGATCTCAGGATCTGAAACCTGCCTATCAGAATAGTTAAGATGAAGCTAGCTAGGCCAAATGTGTGGCGGTTCCATATGCATTTATCCAAGTAGTACCACAATCTTGACAAACCTAACCTGTTTAACAGAAAACACCAGACAGCTAATGGCATAAGATAAAAGTGAACCAAATCCATTTACCTGGCTTTGTGAAATGCAGTTGGTTTTCACTGCATTTCCAAATGTCCCAGACGTGTTGTGACTTCATCTGACAGTCAGCTAGTTGCCCCAATGGCGCAGCTTCCTCTGGATGCTCAGCTTTCTTTGCACCTAAGAAAAATCTCATTTCTACAGAAAGGGGACAGTCATTTTGAGGGAAGACAGAGACTAATTATTTTAAATGTCAGAGAGTACAAGGAAGCAAGATCATGTAGAACAGGTCACTGCCATAATCAGAGCTTGAGATGCTTTACTCAATGTGACTTTGAAGGATCATATGGATGATCTATTTCAGATCTCTGGAAGCCTGCTTCAGGGTTTGCCCAAGTCTGCAAGTAGCTGTGGTCACAATACCAGGGCTGTTATTAGGGGATGGCCAAAATAGGGGCATAGCTTGTGTATACTAGGGAAAGTATGAGAAAAAAGCATCCATTTGAGAACATGACATGCAAAGGTGTATTTAATTAAGGGAAATAGCTCACAAAAATGTGTATATTGAGAGGAAATGTGACTAAAATGCTGCCAATTTTGGGAAAGAAAGAAAGAAAGAAAGAAAGAAAGAAAGAAAGAAAGAAAGAAAGAAAGAAACTGATACAGAAATGTTGGTAACTGAACTTAATTAAGACCGGAAACATAAGAAACTGAATTTGACAAATTCATCAGTTGCTACTACAGGCCTTTGATCTAAATGGGAAGCGTATTCCAAAATTGCCCTAGGGCAGTTTTTGTCAGTATCTTTAGCCCACAGGCAGAGGTACCTGGCCTCCCCCGAGGCAATTGAGCGAGATACTGTGTTTACCATCCGTCTGCGACTGCCGGCAGGCTAGGTAAACAAACCCGGCGATTCTTCTCATTAGTCGTGAGAAAAACACACCTTCTGCTTTCCTCTTCTACTCTCTCCCTCTCTGCATTCTACCCAGAGAGGGGAAATGAGACAGACAGGAGTCCTTTCTACATGTTTTATTCCTGTCACTCAACAGTACATAGAAATGTGACTGCACCCTTCAGTCTCCATTAGAAGAGTCACAACTCCGCCCCTGTACTTCCAGCACAGGTCAGATGACACACTGAGCTAACATCCGGTGCTCAGTACAGAGAACAGGCTCCACCTTTTCTCCAACAGTACATCTGCAAACCACAACATCCTGTTTTGCATTCCAGCCATCTGGAGCTGGCTTTTGCCTTGGTGCTTTTTCCTGACATCCTCCCCCAAAAGCATCAATAGGCAAAACATGATCCAGAGAAGAGAACAAAAAGTTGTTATACATATAACAGTCCCCTGTTGTTTCAGTTCCACCCTTGGAACTTCCCACCACTGGTTTCACCAGTGTACCTCTCTGGTTGTCTGGCTTCCAAGGAATGAGTGCTTCTGCATTACCTTGGCTAGCTACTCTCTGTTGTGTCTTTGTCTCTGACTTAGACACTGCTTCAACCTGCTTTGAGTTGTTAACAATAGCAACACATGCAACAGCTAAGTTAGCAAACTCTTTTGAGTACCTCTTTGGTGGTACACCCTTTGTGACTCTCTCAGACCTGCGTTTGAGGTTCTGATCCTCTGTGCTCACTGGTTCAACCTCTGAACTTTGTTGAGAACCAGTAGCAATGGCAAACAGTGGTTCTTCCTTCACCTGTGAAGGTCTATCCATTGTGTGAGATTTTCTCTCAATGACTGTTACAACTGAACTCTCTGAGTTATCACTGTCATCGTCAGTACCACTGTAATCTGTGACATCAGAAAAATCATCATCATCATCTGAATTGTCACCTGTGGGAAAAGTGTGTTCTACAACCCGCTCTTGCTCTGGAGCACTCTCTAGGAACTTTGTGAGAATCACCTGACCAGATT